CCTTCAGACTGCATTCGGGAGTGACCCATGCCTGCACGCCCACTCTAGGCCCGTGGGTTTACTACAGTGAACTAACGTGCCAAGAGATACCGCATAGGCAAGTTCTTAACCGGTGAGAAATCCATTCATTCATTCTGGGCCTGGAGAGTGGATAAGACCAGCGCCCCTGATCCATCAGGCCTGTCCAGTTCTCTCCGGAGCCCTGCGACTCAATTGGGGATCCTGTCAAAAATCCCGCTCTTCGCAAACAATACTTACAGGTCAGAGAAATCTGTAATGAACATATTTTAGGACAACAAATAACTACAATGCTTCGATTGCCCACTGTTTTTGAGCTATGACCTTAATGAGCGGCTACTGGATTCTGTCAGTTAGTCCTTTGGAGGAAAACCATGCTGCTCAGGGCTGAAATCATGAATCTGATCGAAACAACATTAAGAAGCAAGTAGGGAAAATGTAATGATCTGGATGGTAATAGGACTTGAGTTGTCTGCTTCTCTATGGGAGTCTCTGGACTATTCCTCACAGGAGAGCAGGCTGTGCTCCAAACCCATTAGCACCAGCAGAATAGTATCATATTAGTTACCAATGGGATTAACAGGCAGATGATGCTATTCAAACATAATATGCAAATAGCAAGTGTTCTCAGAGAAAGAGCCACATACTCAAGTGACTTGTCAAAACCACACTTTAATAAGGAGATGCTTCGGGGACGAGGCTTCTTGGGGTGTCTAGTCGGGCAAGCACACTACCCCAACTTTGTGGGAAAGAGATTTTTCTACTTCTTGATAGATTAGGCCACTAAAGAGAACAAGAAGCCAGATGTGGAGCTGGATGGAACACAGGCAGCAGCAGGTCTGAGACAGCTTGGGCTCTCCTCTGGTCTGATGTCCACGTCTCCTCAAGAGTCCCCTGTGCTCAGGGTCACGTCCATGAGGAGGAGCAATTCAGAAAGGGGGGTGGGGGCGGTGAGAAGGGCCGCACAACTGGAAGAATACCATCAGTCACTGAATTGTCAGGGTAGAAACGATTGAATTGCTGGATGGCCTGCGGTGCACATTCTCAACAACAGAAAGAAAATAAACGAGAAAAAAGCTGCCAGACAAACCAAACAAAGAACCTACAAGCCCCTTAGAAGCCCACTGTGTTGTTCTTGCTCGACAGACAGACTCATTGTTCTAGACAGCCAGGGCGCTCCGAGGACCTAACGAGATGATTCTGAGAGCAGCATGTGAACCAACCAAGGTTTCCAGACTGCACATGGGAAACCGGTTGGCTTTTTACTGGAATGCACGTCAGTCGGCGTATGACCTGTGTCACACACCCAGCACTTTATGTTTATTTTCCTCAGTGCCTACTGCCACCTAAAAGCCTAACGTGATCCGATGTGGACACGGTCTGAGGATACACGTCCTTCACTCTGCGCTGGACCAGCTGTGGACAAGAAGGAGCTCTCCTGGGGCATTTCTGAACGATGGCTCTAACAGCCTCTTCCTGTCCGTTTCATGGGAAAACACTTTTTCTGACTTGATTCTGTCTCAGTTGTTTCTCCAACCCAGGCCCTTCTCTTTAAATCTGCTTGGGTCACCTGAAGCCACCATGAATAGGTCAGCCCCAGCTTCTCCCTTGATCAAGTGAGGATCATAATACCTTCCTCTGGGGGTCACAATGAGAGTCAGCATGTGAAAATCCCCAGCATTCTGTGGGCCGTGGACCCTCTCCAAACTGACAGAGGTGGTGGACCTCACTGCCATTAGATACACGGACACAATTCTTTTAACCATGATTTTTAGTAAATTCAGAATACCCTGAATTCCTATTTGGGAAACAATTCAATTTAGCTGAACAAAGGGTTTTTTGGGGGTCTTACATTTTTGTCTCCTCGTGCACTGTGCCTGTTCAGGAATGGGGGCAGGTACATTCAAGACCCACTTCCTGGAACATGTCTAAACCACCAGCCTAAGGGCCCTGATCGCTAAAGGAGCCACCTAACTGCTCCTCCTTATCTCCAAGCAGCAGCAAGGACCAGTCAGAAAGATCAGGCTCAGCTCAAAAGTCTCCGGTCTCAGCAGAAGATAATCTAAGCACCTATCTTACCCGACAAGAGCGTGGCCCTCAACACTCCGCCAGCCACACTGGCTGTCTGCCTGCTGTTCCTTGCATCAGCCAACCACCCGCCCTGCGGCCTCAGGGCCTCTGCCCTGGAGGGTCCCTCTCCACGGTGTCTCCAGATATCCATGCCACTCAGCCCTTGCTGTCTGCGCCAATGCCGTCTTAATGTCTGGTTGTGGCCAGGTGCCATACGCTGGTTCTGATGCACAGCTACCCCACCACAACAGAAGGAAACCCTGCTCGATCCAGTGCCATCCTCTCAATTGTGCCGATGTTTGCGCCCATTGTTGACAGCCGCTGTATCAATCCGTCTCATCACGGGTTTTCCTCTTTCCCTTGACCCTGTATTTTACAAGCATACGACCCTTCTCCAAGGACAGGTCCCTCCTGACAATCGTCCAGAGTATCTCAGATGAAGCCTAGTCTTCCTTCTGGCTGTACTTCCTCCAAGACGGATTTGTTCTTCTGGAAGCCAATGGTGTGTTCATTATTCTTGTCAGCACCTTAATTCAGACGCACCGATTCTTCTCCTGTCTTCCTTATTCACTGTCCGTCTTTCACATGCTCACGGGGCAATGGAAAATACTATGATTTGGAGCAGGTACACCTGAGTCCTCAAAGCGACATCTTTTCTCTTGAACACTTTAAAGAGGTCTTTTGCAGACTTGTCCAATGCGAGTAATTTTATTTCGTGGCCACTGCTTACCTGCGCATTGTAGATCTAAGTAACAGGAAGTCTGTGGTAATCACATAATTTCGTGTCAACTTGAAGGTCTAGAGAAGTGTAGGGGGGTCTAGCCTGTCAGTCAGGTCACAGCCTGGTGGTGCCTCTTGGTGGGCGTGGCCTTCGCATAAGGAGGATCCTGGGAGCCTCCCCCCTATCTCTGCCTTCACCTTCCTGCTGGGTGACCCTGGTTGCTGTGAGCCCTGTGACGTGGCCACTGCCATTGGAGCCACACGACTTTGAATTTACGAGCTTCTCCACCACTGCGTGAGTCTGAAGAGGGACTTGTGGACTAGTATGTGAACTAAGGACTTGATTTGGACTGGGTTGGGATGTGTGCTTGATATATAATAACTTACCGATATAAAGCTTTCTCCTACACATATATATGGTAAGTGTCCCTGGATTTGTTTCTCTAGTCAAACCAGCCTAACACAACGTCCCTGACAACTGCTCTTTCCTGCACGTAGCATGATGTTGGTCCTTGGTCCAGTTGTGAGGGTTTTTGTTTTTTCTTTTCACATAGGCATGATCCACCCTCTTAAGAGAGGCCTTCCCTTCCCCTACAACCCATCTAAACTTATGTCCTCTCCCCATGACTTTACCTGGCTTTACTTTCCTACAGGAAACTCACCAACATCTGGCATATTACATATTGTTTATTTAGCAGTTAATTAACCGATTGCATTTATCTACTCTCCAGTAAGAGCCCTGAGGGCAGAAGCGTTTTCTTGGCAACAGACAACCAACATATATTTGAATGACTAGATGATGAATGAAATGGATGGATCAATAAATAAGAGTTCAAATTCTCTTCTTCCTATTGTCCTTAAGGCATAGCTAATTCTTCCTTTCCTGAACTCTGTTTGGACTTATCTTTGCCAACTTCCTAGCCATTCATCATTGCTATCTTGTGAAATTTCTTACACTGCTTATTCTGAATTACTACAGCTTATCTCCTCTTCTTTAGCTGTTCACATGCTTCTTTATTTTTTCTCCACTGCATCGCAGAGCCATGTAGAGATAGAGTATCATCCGGTTTTTGTTTTCCTACTTGGTAATAATGCACAGTGTCCAGAATTGATTAAGGTTTGATAAATACTTGTTCAGTGTTCAATAGTGATATACCATGTTGTTACTTCAAGTGAATTGCGATAAGGTTAAACAATTGTAGTTGATTAGAATGAGATTTAAGCCGAAAGTCTACTAAAATAATTACTGTTCTCTCAAAAATGAACCTAAGCGAAGTCCCAGCTCAGAGAAAAGAGGGAGGAAGGGAGAGGGAATGGCTGTCTCTGAGCTCAGACCAGCCATCTGCTTCACACTCCCTTCCTCCAGGGATGTCACTCTGTCCCTTTTCCTATTACCAGACAAGACAGCATCTAAAATCCATTTCTCATGCCCAATTCCTAGACAGTTCCCTGGCTCCATCTCAGATACCTGTGCTTTTAAAACACTCTGACATTTGGAGGGGGGCAGTGGGGAAATCAGTTCTCTAGCATTTTATCTCCACCTCTAAATTCTATCTACCTAGACCAGTTGTCAGTGAGGCCTGGGTTTTAAGAGATTCGGCTGTGTGCACGCTAAAGACGGCGTGACTGGACTTAAGCAGGAGAAGGCGTCAGCTCCACAGACTCTCAGATGCTGGCCCTGGGCCTCAACTTGGAGACCCGTTTCTAACTGAGCTCTCAGGGAGGCTGAATCCAGTGAGGTCAAACCAGAAGGAAAATGGGATGCTTTTAGGAATCAACCTATCATTAGACAAAGAGTTGCTTTCAAACCAGTCTGACGGAGAACATCAATTGTTAGAGAAGGGTCAAGGCCGTGTGGGGAAGATCCCTCCAGGAGCAAAGACAGGTGAGTAATGGCAGACCTGCCTGCACACAGCGCCAACTGTCCTCACACATGACCATGGTGATTTACAATGTACTCTCAAGCTGGAGAGAAAGAGGAGTGTGGTAAGGGGCTCAGGCTGTTGAGGTCAAAACATACGTGTGTAGGTGTGGCCATTCTGAGCTGGCCAGCATTCTATGGACAAAGGCAATTTTACTCCGTTTCTGAGTGTCCGGGTGGGAAGTCGATCTGTATTCTTACTCTACAAAGAATTCCTGGAAGTCCTCCCCAATCTCTGCACAAATATGGGCAAGGCTGTTGTCCTGCTTACCGTGTCTGCTGATGAATCGGATACAGCTTTCTACCACCAGAGGAATCGCCTGGCTGGAATCCTGACAAGCCAAGAGAAAGAAACAGGGCACATTAGAATCTTCAATCCAGGGTGGCCCAGGGGCAAAGAAACAGGCCACAGTGTTCGGAGGCTGTCTCGGCTGCTCCAGCAGTCCCAGTCTTGCCTCCATGCTCCTGAGCACACACAGGCAGAACTCAGACGTATTGCGGGGTTGGTTCCGGACCTCTGCAATTAAGCGAATATTGCAATAAAGCAACACACAGAGATATTTTGGATTCCCAGTGCATATATGTTTAGATACTTCTTTCAGTCTATAAAGAGCACAATACCAAACAAACCAAACCCACTGCCATCAAGCTGATTTGACTCATAGCAGCCCCCTATACGGTTTCTAAGGTGGTAAATCTGTAAGAGAGGAGAAAGCCTCATCTCTGTCCCATGGAGCGGCTGGCGGTTTTGAAGCGCCAGCCTTGCAGTTAGTAGTTCAATGCTTACTGACCTTATGAAAAAGCCTGAAATATTGGGAGGATCACTAAGATGTGACCCAGCCATGGAGTGAGCTGAGCACATGCTAGTGGAGAAAATGGCACTCACAGACTTGCTCAACAGGGCTGTCACTGACCTTCAATGGGCAAAATATACATGCACATATTTACATATGTGCAAATATTAATAAACAGAAATACCTGAGAAGTGCAAAGAAGCAAAGTGCAGTAAAACAAGGAATGCCACCCACATGCCTTAAACTCAATGTACCATAAACTGAACTAATCATCTTTTAGCCCAAACCAACTCCCCACTGCCGACCAGCCACCCATTCAATACATCCTGCCAATTTTGTCTTTGAAATCCCTTCCCCATTCTTTGCATCTCCACTGCCACCACCTAGCCCTCAGCACCCCCACCCCAGCTGCCCGCCAACCCATGTTTCTCTTCCCTCACACCGGGCTTGGGTGAACCTTCAAAACGTAGTTCTTATCATCCTCCCCCCCCCCCCATCCCCCCATCTCTCTGGTCCAGCCACACAGACCTTCCTTCTGCTCTTCAGGGAAGCCCTCCTTTGCCTCAGGCTCCAGGCCTCAGTGCAATGATCTGTCCTCAGGGGCTCTTCCTGGATTCCACAGCAGAGATCAAGCCCCAGCACCCTGTACTTAGTGTCACAAGCCTCCTTGTGATGTTAATTGTGTGGGTGGAAACATTTGCGTTTGTCAGCACCACAGCTTAAACTCCACATGGGCAGATCCTATCTAGGCCCTTTCTTGTGTGTCCAGGGCTGGCCATGTGTGTTAGTCTAGGTACTCTGGAGAAACAAATCCACAGCGATTCATGTATAAGAGAGAGTTTTATGTAAAGAAAACGTGCATCACGAAAACATCCCAACCCAATGCTGCCCAAGCCCACAAGTCCAACATTAACCCATGAACCCAACACCAGTCCACAGAGTCCTCCACCTCACAAATCAGAGGCAATGATGCCAGGCTGGCACAATTAACTAACTCATCATGACAACTCTCACAAGGCCAGGGGAGCTTCAGCTAGGGCGTGTCCATGGTGTACAAAATAGGAAAGAAGGGAGAAGACACTTTGGGAGAGGCCCTCTGGTACCGAGCAGGGACGCAGGGCTCAAGGCCCACCTCTGTGCTGCCCTGTCGCTATGCGGCCCTTGTGTGTCATTTACATTCTCTTTTATTTCAATAAGTTATTTCATTGGGGCTCTCGCAGCTCTTCTTCACTTAAATTCTTTAGGCCTCAGTTTGGCATCTACAAACTGACGAGCAGACTGGGGGTAAGGACAGTGACATTTCCTGTTGGCACATGAAGATCTGCGCTTCCCGTTTCCAGAGGACTCAGGGAGGTGCTGGGCCAGGTACGAGGTGCTCTCGAGGGATTGGTCCTGGGAGCAACCTGGTGGGTTTATTAGTGGATATATTAGTTGATATTATTTCTTACTAAACTCACTTTACAAATGAGGAAACGAAGGCTCAGAGGTCGCACAGCTGCTTTGGGTTCCACAGATGGTAAATGGCAGAGCCGGGACTCAAACCCAGGAAGTCTCCCTCTGACCCTGAATACCTCAGCTCCACTCACACTGCCTCTTCAGACACAGGCAAGTAATATCTGGGGTGCACAGCAACCACCACCAAACCCTAGCAGGCTTTATCATGCGGCTGTGGCCAATAATTCAGGCCTGGGAAGACGGACACCTGGCAGAGGGGCACTGAAGCAGCTGGAAAGGGGAAAGGCCTTCTGATGTTAAGGACAGAGACTGGACAGTCCAGAGGGCTGGCTCCCTGTGAGCAATGCACATTTCCCATATCCACCTGGCCCTTGCTCCTGGCTTTGCATTTTCAACTGTACCCTGGGCCTGGCCACTGCCAGGTTAGCAGCCGGGCCTCCTGAAGGAGTCAGGCAGGGAGATGAGCTGTCAAGGGCTCCAGTTCCCTCGCTTGCTGGGAACCAAGGATGTTGCCAGAGAGATTCGGCAGGTCCACTTTGGGGCTGAAGTCTCGTCTACCCAACTGTTCTCACGACCTCCAGACTGTAGGCCATCTCCCTGGCTTTCCAGGCCCAGAGGCCAACACCCGCCCTTGTGCCAGCATCGCTGACTTTGCCAGGCTGACGGTGGGGGAAGATTCTGGCAGAAGAGCGGGCTTCATTCTCCAGCCACCACCAAAGACTGGGTTCCACTATAAGGAAAACCCAAAGCCCCACCTTCGGGAAGTCTGTTTATAAGACGCTCTGCTCTGATATTTTCAATTACCGACAGTAGCAGAGGACAAACTGCCAGCATCCTGAGATGGTTGCATCGAGTGTCGCTGTCCCCAGATTTCTGTACAGGCAATGTTGGTCACGATCAAGATCAGCTCCCAAATGTGTCTTTAAATTGGATTTAAAGGTCAAGTAGGAACAGGGGCACACGCTCATAGTTCACCTACTTTAGTGTGTGAGAGAGGAGCCTTAGTGGTGCTGTCGGTTCAAACCCACCAGCAGCTCTGAGGGAGAAAGTTGTGGCTGTCTGCTCCTGTAAAGGTTTACAACTTTGGAAACCCTGCATTAGGTGGCTATGCATCAGCATCAGCAGCAGGTGTTTGGTTTTAGTGCATGAGGAGGCTCGGTGGCTATTTTATCATAACTGGGATGAAGACTTGGTCTCAAGTAGGGGCTTGTTCTATCTTTTCAAAGTGAGGGAAATTTACATACCATTAAAGGGCAAGTATGAGTAGTCCACAGTTGTCTATTAACTGTCATGTCTTTAACCACAGACTTTATATACAAAGACTCAGAGGGAGTGAGGTTGGAAAACTCACAGGCCATTGGTCCAACATGTTATGGGATGGCATAATTCTGCTGGGATGTGCAGAAATGGAGGATTTCTGATTTTCAAAGAGGCCGGAAGCAAGGCATCAAAGATGCTATCCTACATGCCCAAGGTTACCCCTAGTCCAGCAGAAGGCCCCAGAGAGACAACCTGTGGCCTTGAGACCGATCTCCTCTAGAAGGTCATTTCCCGAGCCCCTGCTCTAGTGGAGCCCAAGGCAGCAGCCACTGGAGCAACAAAAGGACCAGGCCACAGGCGCCAGCTCTTCCTGCCCCTCCCCACTGGGATGCTTCCAAGAGCTGAATGAATGCCTCTGCCGGGACCAGCCTCCGGGCCGTGTGTCCTGCACCTCGCCACCAACTTCGCATACAGCCAACAGTGTTGGGTCACAGTGCGTTTTTAGTCACCATGTCTGTTGTGTGCTCGCTCACCCTCCCCAGTGTTACAATCAGGCCATTTCAGTCTACTCTTGACAACATGTTTGGTCAGATAATGTCAGGGTAGCAAAGTCACTTTAAGAAGCAGGAGGCGAAATGTCCCTCCATCCATCAGATAGCGAGTAATGGTGGCAGAGTGGTAGCATTCTTGCCTTCTATGTAGGGACCTGGATGCGATGCTGGGCCAGTGCACCTCACACAGTCTCCATCCCTCTGCCAGGGGAGGCCTGTGCGATGCTGCGATGCTGAGCAGGTGTCGGCAGCTTCCGGATGAAGAGGGACGAGAGAAGAAAGGCCTGGGAGTCTCCCACCAAAACTCAGCAATACAGTCTTGGAGCACTATGGCCATGCCGGGCTGTGCCGTGCTGCATTGATTTGGGGTCACTGCTGGCTGGGCAGTAGCTAGCAGCAACCACCCAAAGCAGGAAGAGCGGCAGGCGAGGCTTGGGAAATATCATGAAGCAGGGGTCTAGTGACTTGCCGGAGAGAGCAATCAGGGAACAATCGGAGACTACCTCAATATGAAACTGCTTGGAAGGGTTTTTCATGAGTGAAAGGATTAGGAGTTTTTGTCATGTACTGGTCTCCATTCCACTTGCTAGACTTCTGTCTTCACTGACGGAGAAAAGACAAGTCTTAACAGCTGATCAGACGCAAGTGATGAGACAAAAAGAGAGGTCAGAGATCAGATGTGGGGGCTCGGGCTGTGGACCTTGGGAGGAGGTTCCCATGAACAGAAGAGGAGGAGGCAGGGGAGCTGCTACGGAAGTTACAATGTGGTGGCGGAGGCAAGGAGACGAAGCTGGGGGAAGAAGGTGCTCTTGCAACTCCCCAGTGTAAATGTGCAGGCAGCCTGCTGGGAACCAGAGCCAGAGCCTGAGAATGACAGGGGCACCCAAAAAGGGCATGAGGGAAGGGCGTCAGGCTTCTCCGGGGACAGGCCGACAAGGTCAGTAATGAGGTGCCAACTCAAGAGAGGGTCAAGTCTTGGAAAACTGCCCACATGCAGGGTGCTAGAGAGAGCCGGGCCAGCATAGCAACGGTCGGGAGAGAACTTGAAGGGAATGAGCCAGAAGCCACAATTTTGCAGAAAAGTCTGGGATGATTCGTGACCCTGGTCTTTGCTAGGAACTGGAACTCATCCGGAATCCTCAAAAATAAAAGCTTCCAGATTCTTCCTTTGGTTTGACTGAAGCGCCGTAACAGCCGCCCCCACCCCACCCCTGGCCACACACACATTATCTCCTGATTACTTACACAAGGTAACAAAGCTCCTAGGTTACTACTCCCTTTTCTACCTTCCTATCTGTTTGAGGAGAGCTCTCTGCAGATCCACCATTGGGCCTGGAGCTCCTGGAGACAGCGGGCAGCAGAATGAACTCCAGGTCTCTGTGCAGTGGAGGTGTGGCAGTCTCTAGTAAGTCTTACGCAGATCCAGCACCGGCAGATGCTCTTTTCTGCAAGTGCTTGGCTATGGCAGGATGCAAACCAGCTGGGTGCCGGTCCCTCTTGTGTTGAGTCCAACCAGGGTCACACATCCCTGCCCACTTGAGCTAGCCAGCTAACTGTGGCCTCTGCTCTTGCAGCCAGTGCCATGCCTGCAAGGCCCTGACACAGATGCCCGTCTATAAGCAGAGGCCTCATTCCAGGCCAGGGACAGATGGAAAGGAACCAAGTCCAAGTCCAAGTCTGTTCTCAGGAAAGGGGAAAAAAGGCTTGCTCCATCTCCAAGACACTCCACCTCTTGATTCTAAAATTCAATAAATGATACCTGGGAGGCGGGCCATTCTTTTCCAGGCTTAAATGAAATTAAGAAAGGAAGATGAAGACAGGAATGGAAGAATAAGAGATACAATGAGATTTTTATCATGTGTGGTAGTTACCTAACTTCATGTCAACTTGAAAATATATAGAAGCGTAGGGATGGTATCAAACCTGTCAGCCAGGTCACAGCCTGATGGTGCCTCCTTATGGGTGTGGCCTTCTCATAGGGAGGCCCAGGGAACCTCCCTCTCTCTCTGCCTTTACCTTCCTGTTTGCTGACCCTGACTGCTGCCAGAACTCTGTGAGGGGTCTACCGCCGATGGGTCCACATGGCTTTGCACCCACTAACCTGTGATATTCCTGTATCACTGCTTGTGACTTCCGGAGTCTGAAGAGGGACTTAAGGACTTGAGTTGGACTGGGTTAGGATGTTTTCCTGATATATAAAGCTTCTCGATAGAAAGCGCTCTCTTATATATGTGTCTGGATTTGTTTCTCTAGTCAACCGGGCCTAGCCCAGCCAGTAAAAAAAGGTGCAATCGCAACGGATGGCACTGTTGCTAAGACAAGGGCGGCAGTGGAGAGGACAAAGAACTAGTGACGTCAGAGCTAAGATACATGGGGGTCTAGGCTGCCTCGGGCCCCCAGTGGGACCACCCAGCCAGCCAGAGCAGCCAGATCGGCTGAAAAGCTAGCTGGAGTTGCCAATACCACAGAATCCTCCACATGCGATTAGCTCTCCTTGGCTAGAGCCACTGTGAGGTGTCCAGAGGAGGCCTTGAAGCCTCTATCAGTTCCCCCGGCAGACGTGCTGCCCTGTGCTGCCCAGTGCTCCCTGCCGACTGCTTAGCTGGTGTGAACTCGTCAAAAACCGCTCCAAACTCACTGCTATCCAATCAGTTCTAATTCATAGTGACCCTATAAGACAGGGTGGACCCAGACGGTCACTCTTCACTGGAGTACAGAAAGCCTCATTTTTTTCCTGCAGAGGGGCTAGTGGTTTCGAACTGCTGACATGGTTCCCAACCCAATGTATAACCCACTGGGCCACCATGACTTCTGTGTGAGAGCTTAGGGGACTCAAATTCATTTCTGTATTTTCCATAAAGTACAGTTAAGAATTCTAATCTGCTACTGCAGAAGAAAAATAAAGCCTCTGATTATGATTTTTTTTTTATGATTATTTTTTAAAGGCTCGCAAGTGCCGTTGACCTTGCAGTCACGTGCACAACCGCAGTCTTCCACCGCTGACCTCCCACCTCCGCGCATAGTTGGCATGTGTTAGGAATACGAAGCAAAGAACCACAGCAGCAGAAGCCTCGCTGCAAACAAACAGCTGCAAAAGGGGAACAAGACTGCCTGCTTGAGGTGTCAGCTGGTGTGTGATGTGGCAGATTGCAGGCTGGAGGCTCTCTCGGTGGTCTCTCAGAGGCGACGCTTGTTAAACAAAGCCCAGCGCAGCTCTTTGGGTACACAGTTCTGGCATGATCTGTGGTCATCCAAAGCAAACCTGGTACAAAGGAAAAGCTACCACCCTGAAGCTGCCATGCTGGCGAACACACAGTGAGTGAGCGGAACATTCTAATCTCAGCTGGGAGGTGAGGGAAGTGCCCGGTCCACCACTGACTCTTGAGCTAGACCAGCCGGCTCTCGCTGGGCCCTTACCTGTTTCCTCACGGTGGAGCTACGCCTGCAGTCGACCCCGCCGAGTCAGAGGACAGCATCCAGGAACGGGGATGAACAAAAGAGAAAAGAGGGACAGGATGACACAGACACCACGCCGACACCCAGAAGGCACAGTGTGCTGAGCAAGTAAAAGATAATCTGGCGCTTGATGAGGCAATCAGCAGACCCAGACGTGGCTAACAACACGCTCACTGATCGCCATGTCAGCCCAGCGCAGCTCTTTCTTCCCATACGCACAGAGGCTCTTGCTTGTCATGTGCCCTGCTGCTTGAACCCAGGGCAGGAGGGAAGTGGGTAAAGTTGCTGTGAGTTGTCTTTGGGTTAGACAGTGTGGTCTCCATCCAGTCGATGCCCACTCATGGCCAGCCTAGGCCCATGGGGAATAGAAAGCCTTATCTTTCTCCCTACAGGGGGCTGGTGGATTTGAACCAATGGCCATGACAACACATAACCATTACACCACCAGTGTCGCACAGGGATGAGCTGGGGAGCCGCTTCTCGTCATTGAGAAAGGGCAACGTCCGGTGGGAAGGAACCACGGCAGGCTTGAGGGCAACGGTGTCCAAGCTGTGTGGCCTCGGAAGGTGCTGCTGGGAAGGGATCTGACTCGGAAGGACAACACCCAGAGCGCGTAGAACAGCGCTGCCAGGGTTGAGTGCAGGCAGGGACCAGCTTCCAGCTGCAGGCCCCTCTGCTCCTCCACCGGACCACTCCTAAAGGACCTCTTTGCCGCCCCAGGGCTCCGCAGAGCTTGTGTAATTCTCTTTCTTACAGCCGAGGGCACTGGGGCTCAAGGGAGGGCAGTGAGTAGCAACAGGGAATTCAATTCAGGTCTTCTACTACCCGCAGGGTGCTGGTCCTCTGCAGGCACGGGGCTTGTGGTGAACTTGAATGAAGGCTCTGCCATCACGGTACAGTTTCCTCCAGCCATCAAGACGGGAACCCGAATGGGATCTTCACTGTGACCCACAGGACAGACCAATGAAAGCCAAATGAAGCTCTCTCTAAAGAATGAGGCCCTAATTGAAAATGGCCTCATGATTATTGTGTGTGTTGGCAGATATCCCTGGTTGATATAATGGACTAATCCGGGGTCTCAGAGGAGCCCCGCCCATTAAAGTGCTGACCTCGGTGGAATCAGGACATTTTTAAGCATCTGAGAAAGGCTGGCTTGGTGATGTCTCCATTCTCGTCAGTCCTCACAGTGATTGGGAGGGAAAAATACTTGCCTTGGGTAGGGGAGGGAGAGGTGGGTGGGAAAGGGACTTGGGATGGGGCGGGGCAGGTTGCACACTTGCTCATCAGGCAGGGATTTCAACCAATGCTGTTGGGCAAGTCAATGCAATGTCGTATTTCATTATCCAGCACCAGTCACCCTTTCCACCCATGCAAACAAACAAACAGCCTCAGCTCACGTGCCATGGCCAGAGTGTCCTTTTCTGGGTCAGAGGGTCCCCCCAAAGCCCACATGGTGAAGGCTGGTGGCCAAGGTCAGGTGACCAGGATCTTTGAGAGGCAAACATTCCTTCCCCTTGCACTGTGGTGGCTTAGAGGAGGCCTAGGGACTGTTCCAGCAAGTGACAACACCCTGCCCCCAGTCCTGTGCAGCTCCCAACACAGCCCGTTTCCATGTGAAACCAGATGGGAGTCAGCAGGGCAGAGGAAGGATGCTCCCCCGCCCCAGCCACTCGTCGACACAGTGGCTGAAAGCCCTAACAGCTCAGCTCCTTGGCTCGTTCCCAGGCTGGTGGGGTGGGGGGGGGCACCCTACCCATGGTCCTCCTCCTCCTCCCCCTTCCCCAGAACACCCAGGCCACACCTACCTGGCCAGGCTGCAATCTGTCCGCTGACCTGTCAGGAAGAAAAAGGCAGAAAAGCACATGGTAAAGGGGACAGGCTGAGCGAGGGAGACTTGCTCCTCAGTCACTACGCCCTGCCTTACTTCCCAGCGTCCTCGCGTGCTGCAAAGGCCCTCAACTGCGAACCCAAAGGTTGGAGTTTGTTTAAGTCCACCCAGCAACGGCACCTCAGAAGAAAGGTCCGGTGATCGGCCGAAACCGCCCAGCCAGTGAAAACCCCATGGGAGGCAGTTCCACTCAGACACACACAGGGTCACCATGGGTCAGAAATGACCAGACAGCATCTGGGAGGGAGTGTGGGAAGGTGACCCACGAGCCAGCCCCTCCCTCCCCCTCAGGCCAGACAAAGAGAAGCAGGCAGAGCCCTCTCTGCAAGTTCTGCTTCTGACACTGGTATAGTACTTGGGCTGCCTGGGCCTCCCAGTGGAGAAACAGGGGTGGAGGGGAAAGAACAACAAACAATAAGGCAGGTCATGTTTTATAGAACATGTGATTAGAAGCCTTCTTGGAGAGAAACCTAGCTTCTTATGTAGGGGTGCACACACACATATGCACATGCACACATGAGGGGGCTTCAGAGAGGTTGTGGAAAAATAGTGGAATTTATCCCTAAACTGTTTTTAAAGCCCCTTGTATGTTGAGTTTGTGTGTGGTGGGGAGAGAGGGGCAAGTATGAAAATAACATGCACATATGTGCACACACACACACACACACACAGCAGGAAGAAAGACAGAGTAGTTGTTTGGAAGTGGGGAGGGAAAAGACATGCATGTCAGATTCACAGTAGAGTCTCCTGTTAAGTTGAGCTGGTGGCAAGAGCTAAGAGCTAATGCTGATGCTGCTTCAAACACTGGTTTTCCATTTAATAGTTAGCTCAGATATAAAATTAAATGGGTCACAACCAGCTTCAAAAATAGGTCAAAGAACATTAAAATTCATAAGAAGTGTTCTTATGTTGCAAAAATGCATCTGCATGTGTCCATGAGCAGTGGTGTGAAATCCGCCGTTTGCTGTGGGCCCTGACTGGTGGAGCTGGAGCTGTTTGGACCCCCAGTAGGTGGTCAGAGAGCGCAGGCCTGGGAAGGTAAGCTCTGCTCCTGCACCCCAACCTGGTTTCTGGAAAGGCAACCCCAGGGGCAGGGGGCACAGAGGGAGCCTTTCAAAGTGGCTAACTGTTGATTAGAGTGCTGGCCACCTCCAGCCCCAGGCGCCCCAGCCCCAGCAGCTTTTCATCACCAGAGGCTGGGCTTTCATCCGCAGAACCAGTCTGCTGAGCCACGAGTCTCCACATCTGCCCATTTCCATCCTGGAATATTCATACACATCCATTATCCCCCAGGGCCGAGCACAAGGGGCTTCTGCCTGACGGTGACAAATGCATACAGAAGGCAGGGGCATGATGACTTGCACAGAGGAAGTCTGCAGCAATTTCCCCACCTTTACTGGTGGAACTTGTCATCTTCAGATGAAGGCAATTTGCAGTACTAATGGATAGACACCCCTGGGTCTTCTCCAGAGTAGCACGTTTTGGGTGTGCGTGTGCATACATATATTCATCCTCTCTCTCTCTCTCTGGTGTGTGTGTGCGTGTGCATGTGTGTGGGCGCGCACACTCAAGCTCGCATCCCAGGCGCTTATGGGCTATTCCAGGATTTCTTGACAAAAGGAAATCACAGCTATAAAGTTGTTCGCATAGTTCTGGGCTCCCTTCCAATTCCCCACAGGGCAGTCTGCTAACCCCGGGAGTAAAGATGTCCTGTAGGTAGAAGTGGGACCGCAAGGCCCAAACCTGCTCAGCCTGACTGAGTCCCCTAGATGGCGGTAATGGAAGAGAACAGCAGTTCCCTTATGGGCTTCCACACTTAGCAGAAGATGTGATCAAAGGCATTCGGAGAAAAAGGAGTCATTTGTGGAGTGAGTGCAGGGCAGGAGAAGGGTGGGGAGAAGGCTCTGGAAAGAAATGTGGGGCTACTGAGTGGCAAGTCTTGCCCGCTTCCCCAAGCCTGTGCTCAAGAATTCACACTATAGCCTGAGGCCTCTGTGTGCGGGCAGGGCTGCCTTCTGCTGAGGTGGCCACATAGTCAGGAGGGGGGCAGGGCCTGGGAGGAGGAATCCCCAACCTGAGAATCCCATTAATGACAGCATGCAAGGAGTTAGGCAGGAGACCTGGGCAGGCGCCAACTCCCCTGGGGAAGCTTCTCTTTCATCTTCTCCTTCTGTTTGACAGCCCAGGGGAGAAGGCCCAGAGTGCCTGCAGGCCAGCTCCCAGCCTCGCTCTGTCCAGGCTCTGGTGCAAATCACCCTCGAGGCAGGGCCAGTCTGCTCAGCCCCAGGACCCTTCCAAGCAGAAGGGAAGCAACTCTACCCTGAAGCACCAGAGAGCAACAGTCTGTCTTTCACCCCTCACCCACCCCCCACTTGGGGAATCCTCCCCTCTCCTCAGAGCAGCTGTCTTGCTGGTCCCCACATTCTGTCTCTGTCTTGCTGCAGAGGAGCAGGGGGTTTTAATCAAGTGTGGGAGAGTAATAACCCATCAGCCCCTGCACCCCCATCGGGGCAGAGGCTGCAGTGGAGGGCCCGGGTGGAGAGCAGCACGCTCCATTTAAACAAATGGATGATGCACATTAGTGCTTCATTAAGCACCGGCCTATTCCCATTACTCAAGCAGTCATTTGGGGCGGGCACTCCCACATCAAAACAGGCGAGGAGAAGAAACTCAGTGGTCCAAGTCTGCAGAGGCTGGGCCCACCGGCTGCGGAGGGAGGCGTGGCTCAGCCTTGGCCCCTGCCCACCCTCCAGCACAGTTCTCACACTCACTCTCGCCCAGCGTTTTCTGCAGCAGGTCGTGCTTGGCTTGTAACTTGGTGATGAGGTTCCTGCCCTCCAGATACTCCTTCATTTTCTGTATGGGAGGTAGGGGAGAAAGAACAATCAGAGAGGGAAATCACAGCTCAGCTCCACAACTCCGTTTCCAAGAGCTTAATAGGTTTCTGGCCCGCTTTCCATCTTCCCGGCCCTGAGCACATGCGCATCCGCTGAGCACCTCCCTCTACTGCTCCAGGAGCTTCCCGGGTCTGAGAAAGACTTGTGAGCCCCAAACACATGTCCTTCAGTTCTACTGACCGACGATGGGAATGGAGGGTTGGTGGGCTCGCTGAGGCTTGGTGTCCTTAGTGTGCGGACACACACCTGCCACCTGTCCCCTCCGCTGACATCCAGTCTCAACTCGGGCCCTGCCAGTGTGCTTTCCGCTGCACTAGACTAGGAGCAAGGTCAATGGTAGGCTCACCCACTGCCTCTGCTGAGAGCCTGGCCCAGACGGTGACAGGACCTCTGTCCCAGCCAGATTCTGGCCGGCCTCCTGTGCTACTCTGGTCTGAGTCCTGGCGGAAAGCTTGGGGTTCCTGAACACTCAGCCCCCGCCCCCCACTTGCACATATATGCACACGAGCTCACAGGTTCCACACATAGGCGACTCCACTTGCTCCAGTGATCAAAACATTCTCTGGGCTAGGCTTGTCAGCTTGACTGCTCCCTACTCGACCCTGCTCAGTGAATCTCCATTGCACGAGAAGGCTTCAAAAGTGTGTGTGTGTGTGTGTGTGGTGTTTCTATTACATTTTCATTGTTTTCCCAGGATCTTTTTTGAAGCCCTCTTGCATTTCCCCAGACAGACAAAATTCACCAAATCTTCCAAACAACCCTATGAACCAATGCTACCCTTATCCCCATGTTATGCCTTGGGAAGATGATGTGGCACCAGATTGAGAATGGAGGGCGTGGGGGGCACTCTATGTAAACACACAGAGCTGGGTAACACCGCACAGGGTCTAAACCAGGGCTGGGTACCATGTGGCCTGTGGGACCATCCATACCACAAAGCAGCCAACCCCACACGCCTCACCAGAGCACGGCAGCTCCAGTCACCACACCAGGGGTGGGTGAATTAAATGTTAGCAGGATGGCCTGCGAATGATGCTCTGTACATCCAAATGGCCCTTGGCAGCAGAGAAGGTTCCCCACCTGTGGTGAACCAGAGGTTCCCTAACTTATTTGGTCTACTGCCTCCTTTATCAGAAGAAAAACCCCAAATCATCAGAGAAGAAAAATTAAAAGGAAAACCTCAGCGCCCTGCCCCACCCCAATGAAGCACTTTGGTACTAGAGCCTACAGTCCAGGACAAAGTGTCTGCTCCTGCAACCCCCCCCCCCAATCTGGATCATTCCAGCGCCCTCCAGGGGGCGGTATGGCCACTCTGGGAAACCCTGGTCTGAAGCATTATGATCAAACACTCCATCCCCTTATGGCACATAACAGCAGGAGAAATTGTCCTGGTGTAAATATTTAGAGATGTGTCGAACTTTATAGTCTTTGAAGCACTTAGGACTCCCTGGGTGGCACGCTTGGCTCCCACCTGAAAGGCTGGTGGTTCAAAGCCACCCAGAGACACATGGGAGACAAGCCTGGCGATCTGTTGAAAGCCCCGCGGGGCACAGCTCTGCTTCGAAACGCGGGTCCCCCGAGTCGGAGTCTCTCACGCACCTCACACAGTGACTGTGCACAGCACTGGGAAGGACCGTCGTCTTGGCTGAGATGCAACGATGCTCTCGGAAGGGCGGCTGCCAAACGAACGGCCGAGTGTTGTGAGGCAGTGAGTGGTAGTGAGCGCCCTGGAGCCCTGCTGCTGGACCCTTGACGTGGTGCCCTTTCGCCCCCAGCAGCGGCGGCTCCTGCTCCGCCCACTTGTAAACCCCAGTCTGGCCCTGACTCACTGGCAGCCCTTGGGTAGTTTTGCGAGTGCCGCAAGCTGAATCCCGGTCTTCAAACCGGGTTCACTCCCGCCCGACCCCCTGCTGAGAATCTGCCTTTTGCTCCAGGTGTATGGAATGAGATTCATCGCTATCATCAGGTAAGGAGGTGGCTTCTCTGGAGAGAAAAGGCAAGTTCTCGGCAGGGGGCCATGTAGGAATGCACTGGTTCAAAGACCTGCTTGGTTCCAACTCACAGCGACTTTACAGCGGTCCTCATGGCCTCACAGGAGAGGAGGACCGGGCTTCTTCAGGCTGCTGTCTCTACAGGACCTAACCTTCTTTCCCCATGGCCATTGAGAGACTACGGGGCAGAAGAAAACTCCTCCTTAGGGTTTTGGAGGCTCTAAGTCTTTATAGGAACAAGCAGCTTCATCTTTCTCCCTCAGAGCAGCTGGTGGGTTTGAACCACCAACTGCATGGTTAGCAGCGCAATGTCTAACCCACTCTGCCACCAAGGTTTCACCAGGGCCCCTTGTATCACAATTGGGTAAAACTGTTAAAACTGTGATAGTTAGGTCTTTCCTTTAAGGCCCACTCAACAATAAGTGGTGGGCACTGTGAGATAACTGAAAACAGACTTCTCACTTTGCTCTCGGGCTCCTCTAGGCCACAGCGGCCCAGCACTCGGTGGAGCCGGGGTTCAGTGTTGGGGAGATGTCCAGCCGGGGAAGCCCTGTGCGACTCCATGGGCTGTTAAACGCGTCAGAGGTGACTCGAGGGCAGTGGGGTCTGGCTCTTCCCCATTAGTCCCCAATTAACTTGACCCAAACTGTTCTTGCCTAGAGCCTTGCTTCCACCTCAAACTGCTCCATCGCCCTGGCCACTTGGTTCACTTGAAGACAGTCGTCGCTCACAAGCCCACATCTCGGTGAGTTCGTGAAAAAGACTACGTGCTCCCTGCCTTCTCCAGCCACACGGCCTCCGCGTCACAGAAATGCAACAGCCAGGTTGGTTCCAGAGACAGCTTTCGAGCACTTGGTCACCAAGCAGCCCTGGTGGTAATGGGTGACATGAATTACATGCTGGGCTCACTGCAGCTCAGCAGTGTGAACTCGCTGAGGGGCAGAGAGAGGCCGTCAGGATGTGCAGCAACAACCCCAAAGAAGAGTTCTACTCTGCCCTATCGATAGGCTTTCGTTTCTTTGTGCCTTAAAGACACCACCACCACCAAAAAGCCACGTAAGGCCTTTGATTTCATGGCATTAGACTTCTAACCTCAAGGTTGGTCGTTTAAACCCGAGGTACAGCCTTGAAAACTGTTTAGACAGGCCTGCTGTGAGTCAGAATCTACTCGCTGGTGGTGCATCTGGATTACTTAGAACAGGAAGGAAAGAGACATGGTGAAAAAAAATGAGACTCACTTATCTCTATATACTTCTTACATTGGAACTTTTTATCCACAACTCTCTCTCTTAGACACACACACACAAATGAAGAGAATCAATTGCTTGCCCGGGATGCAGCCCCTGACCCTCTCCTGCCCACACAGACGCTCCTGGGTACATCTTTGCAAAGTCCCACAGCAGCACTGCCCACACAGCACTGTCCCCAAGAAGTGTCTTTCTCACAGAGGGGCTCCTCCCTCTGGCCACACACCATGTCGTTCATCATTGCCGACATCCCTGAAGCGTGGCACTGTGCCTGGCAGAGCGGAGAGGAGAGAGAGGAGAGGAGAGGAGAGGTGAGAGGCCAGGCTCACTCACTGTGAGGAGGAGCCAGTGAGGGTACCTCCTCCCTCGTCTCCACAGAGAACTTTCCTCAGCAGGCACAAGCCCAGCCTCCAGGTGTGGCTGCCCCTCAAAGTGGAAAGGCAGCCTCGCCCTACGCACAGCCTGCTCCTGGTCCCTCTGCTCCTTTGTGCTTTGGCACGAGAGCATCTGCAGCAAAACAGACTAGACTGTCACCTTCCCCCTTCCATCGGCTCTGCGGCCAGCTCACCTGCTGCCACGCGGCACTGGCTGCTCAGCCTCCTCCCAAGCGCATGCCTAGTTGAGAGCCCCGAACAGTGCTGCAGGGCAGGTTTTCGAGATCCCACCACCTTCTGAGGACTTGCATTTCCACCCCAAACTGACAGAGTCAGACTCCATGAGAGGGATTCAAAACGGCTTGCGGAAAAACGCCAATGTCCTTCTGGTCCACTTTGCCACAAATACTTGGAAGACCCTGATGCGTGGTGCCGAGACTGCCCCAGTGACTAGCAGAAGGTCTTGTTAAAGGTGGATGCTGACTCATGCTTCAAGCGGCTTCAAAAAGTTGAAGGAAGATTCCATTGTCTTTTAATTCTCCCCTTTTTACCTGACCCCACCCCACCCCCGCCGGACTTTTTGAAGCCCCCTCAAATCTGGGGTATAAAGGCAAATCCTCAGCTAGTTGGGAATGACGCTTCAGGGCCTGGGGGGTAAAAATCTCCAAGAAACACCTATGGTTAACATTGTAGTTCTCAGAGGCCTCTCTCATGAGAAGGTCCTCCCAGGAGATACTAAGGGTTTCCTAATAAGGGGGAAAGAATTCACCAGGAAAACTGTAACCTTCCAAACAAGACCAGACTGCTCAAGAAAACAGGCAAAATTCTCAAAGGAGATCAATGCAAATTCCTTCCTCTCACTCACGTTTCTACTTGTGATTCTGGAAATTGTTTTCTGTTTCGTTTTCTTCCCCCCCTCTGTTCATGTTCATAGCTCACTCGTTAACTCTGGCTGTCCCTCAGCAAACCATTAAAATAAATAACAATCTGATAAAGAGGTGTGATGGATTACCTTGGTGAGTCCCATTAAATCCCGAAGGCTCACACAGTGTCAGCTCTGACCGGCTTCCCAGCTCTGGGCGGAGACAAAGGCTGGGAGTTTCCGACTGGTGGCTGGGCCTGGGAAGAAGGTAATGCCCCTGCCCGCAGAGGCGGCTGCCCTGTTACTCCTCACTGCCCTGTCTTGCCTGTGCAGTGAGCACCCATCTGGGTGGAGACACACGGGGACAAACGGCCTTTCCTTTCCTGGAGCACTACAGTTAGAAGAGCGGCCCTTGGTTGAGTGGTTTGTGAGGGACTGCTCTTTAGGAATTACCAAATGGGAATGACAGATTCCTTGTGCAATTG